TTTAGAAAAACATGAAGAGAATAACGTATGTATATTTGTAATACAATTAAGGTTTCAGTTGTGATATGAAGGAATATACTAGGGAATAAACCTACACATGGACTATGACACATGTCATAATGATATTGCTCAAGCCAAACTTGGGCACTAAGGTACACCCCCTATAAAAGGGGCATAAGGTATCACAAAAACACATTCTCTCTATATTCAGTATTATACTCTCATATTGCACTTTATATCGGGTAAGTGTTGACTTAGGCATCGGAAGCTCGACGCTAGGACTCCTCCCGACGTTGAGTTCTTCAGGTACAGAGGCTGTCCGAGTTGAAGGAGCAAGGTGAAGTTCATTCTTTATCAACATTTTATTAAATTCAAATATAATTNNAATGAAGAAGAAAGCCAAATATGATATACTATTAAGTTTTTGTTTCGAATTACAAAATTAAAAGGAATGAAATATTATTTTCTACGTAAAAATTATAAGCGAAAAGAATATCATATAAAAAAATATTCAATAACATAAAATATGAATTATGACATTCTCATTTATGTATTATTTTTATAGACTAGTCTAATTTGAATACCCAAGCCCCATGGCGACATGATAAGAGGATGTTTGAATACAAAACATTTAAAAAAAAATCAAACATTTTTAACTTAATTATTTTTTTTAACTCTTTTTTAAGTCAACCCCACTATGAATAATATTATCAATATAATTAAATACATCAATTAATTATTCTTACATACCACATCAAATTTACTTACATAATTTTAACTAACTATTATTTCAAATTTCAACTTTAATTCACTACTAATTTACCTACATAATTTTAACTAACTATCAATTCAAATCTTCTCGTTCCTACTTTTACGTCAAATTAACTTCAATCATATTATTTTAAATATTATTTAATATACCAACTATCAATTAACCATACAACATTTTTTAAAATTAACCAAACCAAACCAAAAAATCCAAACAAAAACTAAAATTTTTTACATGAAGCATCCCCTAAGCACCATCAATGCTTTGGGTCTCTTAACAAAAAATCACATGTCATGCAGGATATAGACATAGTTTATAAAAAAGTGTTTCACAATGCAATTAAAAGTGGACCTAGTCTACCTTATGTGACAATAAAAAAAAAAGACCAAACCCACTCTTAGGTCTATTTTGGACCCAAGTGTGAACCTAATATACTGCAATCATTTGCTATTATTATATTTTTATTGGTTGTTAGGTATTCTAGATCTAATACTTTTTTGTTTGCATTGGATAGATTTTAGATTTTTTAACTTGAGTTTGTCCATGTCATTATAGACTTAAATTTATTTATTTGCCACATATGTAAAAAGAGAGTCAAAGCATTGTGGTGCTCTAATATTTTCTCATTTTTTCCAAGCACACGCCCAGCCCACGTGGTTGAGCAGAAATGCATAATGAACCAAGAGTGAATTTTTTTTTAGCCATATACAAATGGCTAACACAAATTTTAGCCATATTTTGAAAAAAACACTCTTTTTAGCCATTTTGGCACCTGAAATGACAAAAATATCCTTACTACCTATTTTTTCAAAAAAAAAAAAATATTAACAAAAACGATTTCTGGTCCCAGAAATTTATTTCCGGTCCCAGAAATTGTTTCTAGTCACAGAAATCCCAGAAATCCAATAAATGATTTCTAGTTCCAAAAATCGATTTCCGGGACCAGAAATCGATTTTCGATCCCAGAAATGATTTCTGGTCCTAGAAATTCCAGAAATACAAGAAATGATTTCTGGGACCGAAATTTGATTTCTGTGAGTCCCAGAAATCCCAGAAATACAAGAAATGATTTCTGGTTCAAGAAATCGATTTATGGAACCAGAAATCGATTTTCGATCCCAGAAATGGTTTCTTGTCCCAGAAATCCAAGAAACGATTTATGGTTCTAGAAATCGATTTCTGGGGTCCAGAAATCGGGATTTCTGGGACCATAAATCAATTTCTGGACCCCAGAAATGCAAGAAATCCCAAAAAAGATTTCTGTACCCCAGAAACGATTTCTGGACCCCAGAAATCCCAAAAATAATTTTGAAATTATTTTTAGATCCATGATATCTGGTACAAGAAATCGATCCCAAAATTCGATTCTGATTCAAATTTTATTTGTTTTATTATATAAGACATTGAATCATATATAAGACATGCTTTTTTTACATTATTTGTCACTAAAATACTTTTGTATCTTTTTTTATAGATGTCGTGTGAAAAAGTTAGAATTGTGCATAGTGGATTTTGGGATGAGAATGTCTATAAAAATGGACAAGCAGAGATGAACTTTATGCGTTTGGGGAGTTTGTCATATGAAGACTTTTTAAATATAGTTCATGATATTGTTTGTGGAGATAAACACACGCGTGAGTATCGATTTCACTTCTTGATGACCACGATACGTGTTTGTGGCTTCCTCTCACTGACCTTACAAAATCTTATATATATTTGTATGATATTTTTTTTTTTCCAAATTTTAATGATATATAAACCTCAACTCACAATATACAGATAATCGTCACCAGTGTCCGTGTAAGCAAACAATGTGACAAAATTGTAGATACATCGATGCAACAATCATTAAACAAGTCGAGCCAATCTCGACCTGATACTCGAGCTTCTGAGCTTGCCTCATTAACTACACGATATGATAAACAAGTTCAGTGTTTAACATGAGGAAGCAATAAGAAAGCAGAACTAAAACAAAACAAATAACACAGGCACACACTATTGTTCCATTTTCAGTTTTTCTTAAAAAAAATGATTATGTACATTAATTTAGGCAAAAAATTTTAAATTTTTGCCAAAAATATTACTCAATATAGCAAGTCTCATTACATTTGATGGCAATTGGCATTCTATAACAGTTGACAATATACGAATTTTCTTCTAATTATCATACATTGCTTGCACATTCAATATGACCCAAATTAAGCTCTCGAATGGGTCAAAGTTCAAACCGTCCCCAGCATATCCAACTCAAAAGGAGTACTGACAGTTTTGATTTCTGAATCTCATCAAATCCAAAATTTAAAAAGAAAAAAAAAAGTTTCATTTTTCATACATAAAACTTGATTTTGATATACATAAAAGTGTGTTAACAGCAGGACTATATTTTGAATTGTCTATAACAACAGATTTTTCATGATAGATAACGTCGATGTGAATATACAACAAACTATCAGATTAAAATTCAAGAGTTCTACAGCCACCATGGGTTGTCACTAGTTCTGAAATCTATTTTGACCCACAGGACAAACACCACCTTCCCATGATCAATATTAACATGAGCCAGCGCCAAAGACTGCATCAAGATATAAGACAATATAAGTGAATAATTAGCAGATAATATGATAACGACATAAGACATAAACCATCATAATATTTCGCCTTTTCTTTTTCTCATGCTCAAACCACAAGTCATAAGGCCTTAAAACTGAAATGTAACTTATGAAATTATACAGTTTCAGCAAGCTAACAGTCACCAAAAAGGCCAGCAATTAACTCCACAAATTGAAGCTAAACACACGGCTTAAAGCTCATCACACAAACATCAATTTTCTATTTTTCTCATAAAATTTCTAAGGCAACTTAAAGGCTATTAGAACTGAGATTTATCCTCAAATAGATACATATAATAACAACATATACATGCATAAAAGCTCAACCAAATAGTGCAACAATAGGATTCAAATCAACACACATTCAAGCCTCAAATTAACCCTTCTTTTTCCTTCTCTTTTTCGTTCAAAATCACAAGTACATTAAAGGTATTAAGAACTGAACTTAAACTCTTTTAAAACCACAAAAAACAGCAAATAAATCACATAAAATGCACTGCAACATATAAGGCAAAACAAGGTTCAAACACAACTTAAGCATGCTCTACATTTCCCTTCTTTCTTAAACCTCAACCAACACATACCAAAAGCCTTATGAACTGAACATACTTCTCTGAAAATTAATGCATAGCAACTGCATGATATCCATACCAACAGGCCACAGAAAGATCTCACAGCAAAAAGGCAAAAAATACACATTATGCTTTATTTCTCTGTTTTTTTTTTCTTTCTCTCATGGTCAAACCACAAATGGAATGAGTATAAACTCTGAAACTAATACATATTAAGCACATAAACAACATGAAATTCGCAGCATAAAGTCTCAGCAAAATCAGGTCACAAAATGAGGACAAACAAAATCACAACACAACATACATACATGCATACATATCTCTTATTTTCCTCTTCTCTTTTCTCACGTCTAAAAAGCAGCATTTTTTTATGAGGCCATCACCTGTGAAACCTGCTAAATGAGCAAGCTAACCACATTTTATAAGCTCAAAGAAAGGGCAGAAATCCCACGGCCAAACAGCAACTCATATACATACATACATCCTTCATAACCTCCTTCTTTTTCCATGCGTCAAATACCAATTCATTAGGCCATAAAAACTGAGTATACATCTCTAAAAAAACACTCACTTACAGCATATGATAATTTCAATAAAGCTCAGCAACAAGGTATATTCATAAAGCTCATAACAAATCACAAGCACAATTCCATTCTTCTTCATTTTCATCTAAGTCTAAGTATGCCCTTCTTAAGCTTTTAAAACTGAATCAAAAAAATTCTTTCGGCTATAAAATAAGGTAAGGAGGCTCAGCCTTTACCTCCTTTAATATTTCAAAAATAAAGGGCAAGGACTCGGGTCTAAGGCTCTGCCTCGGCTGGGAATGGTGCAAAGGCTTCGGCTTTTGGGCGGGTTTGGACTCACTCAAAGCTGCTGCAGGGGGTCCAACTTTCCTTCTCTCGTCTCTCTCTTGCTTCGGGTTGCCAGAAGTGGTGGCTGCTCGAGTGAAGGCTGCCGGCGTGCGAGCTCTCGGCTGTACTGCATGCGGCGACAAGGCTTGAGATGGAGGTGCCTATCCCCTACGTTTCAAAGTTCCAAAATTGTGTTCCTTTAGTTGGCTTTAGGAGCTGCCTGACTTCGGCCAAATTGGACGATCATCGGCTTGCTTATAAATAGATAACCATTTACAGCATTCTACACAAGTATGTATAGCGATTCAATCATCAGCAACAATAAATTCTGCAGCATGCCAAAGTCATTCAAACAAAAAGAAAACAAAATAAATCAATTGTTTTTGTGTTTGCAAACATACCAAGCCATTGCGTGCAAGTTTAACTGTTGGGAATGTAAGAAAAGCTTGGCCCGTCATTCTTCCTTCTTACAAGACGAATAGTTGTAACCAAAAGAATTGAATCGACAGAATTTAAACATTCAAGAACATTACTACCAGAAAAACAAATGTTGATGTTAGGCAACTCACGAAAATAAAAAATAAAAAAATGAACCTGTTACTGGACTGGTCTGGTCTGGTTCAGTCCGGACAGCTCCAAGAACTGTTTATTAATTTTATATATAGTCGAGTGTTTTTATTAGTTATTTAGTTATTCTTGAAAGTCATATCACTACCTACTAAAGAGTACAAAGGATTAATCTTTAGTGTCTTAAATTAATTAATAATTTAAAATTTTCATGACTAAACAACGATGTTAGTGTCTTTTTATTACTTGAAATTTGAATTGGCAAACAATGATATCAACCAATGAGGTGTATTTATAGCTTCATGTCCATTTATTTGAAAAAAGAAAGCCGTCATTGTAATTGTTTCATAAATATTTTAAAGATTGACAAGTTTTGCTGAATCAAAGAGAGTTCTCTGGTAAGATATATCAGTAACAATTGTCACTGAATTGAGAGAAATTTACTAACCCTCAACAGAGATCACAAGATTATCAAAACAATCTTGTTCGGTAAGAGCATACCACTGTTAGAATAGCATATAAGACTGAATCAAGTTTAGCGCAAAATTATAACACTCATCATTTTCGAAATAGTAAAAAGGAAAATAAAGAAGAAACTAAAATAAGAAGATAGCATAAATGGACGTGTGGCTGCTCGTTCCAAAAACACACACCAAATTGTACGATACTCCTCGGTTTAGCAATATTTGCAACCTTCTCCGAACTTGGGAATGAAATATCAAGTGAATGTAAATTGTAAAAGACCTTCTATAAGTTACACACACTTATCTAACTGCAGAGCACATTGGAATACTCAAATGATCATATCCTTTAACTCTACGGTTGATCTTCAACAATTTGACCTCACCATTTGTTCAGAACATACAATATTATTCATTATAGCTTCTTATAATCACTTTCTCCTTTCAGAACAAAGAATCCGATCCAAACCCATCTCCAATAGTCAGTCAAGATTCAAGCTTTCACTTAACAATTGTTATATCTCAAAGCTATACTCTTTTCTTCACTACAAAAGCAGACTATTGCTCACTATAAATCCATTTTCCAACCATAATCATAACTTTAAACCAAATTCTACTAGGGTTTGTCTCGAAGAACAGAAAAAAAAAAGAAAAAAAATACACACACACCTCAAAATTGTGTGAGGACGTGAACGGCACCTGAGGCTTAGAGCTCCACCCAAAATCATCTCCTACAAATCTCTTCGACTGATCCAAGCTACAGCTATGGAGTCGCCGAGAATATATCTACCCTGCACAAGACGAAAATTTCCAGATAACAAAACTCATAAAATTAAGGATCGATTACACAATATCCAAAAAATAACATAAAATACACACTCGAGGGTGAGGTCGTCGGTTGATGGTCGGGACGGAGGACGGTCGCGAGTGGTTGCGCCTATGAACAGAGGAGGCCGGATGGAGGTGTGCTGCAGCTCGACGTCAGAAATCAGATAGCCAGGCGCTAAGTGTGGTCGGGCGATGGTCGCCCGACGGTGGCGCAGGTGGTCGGAAGCTCGGCGGTTGGAAGCTCGACGGCGGAAGTGATGGGCGTGAGAGAGATGAGGGAGATGAACCCTAGTGTATTTGAATTAAATTGAAATTTCTGAAAATGAAATTAATTGATTTGGGGGGAAAGAAAAGAATAATGTGAAAAAATTGAGTTAAGGGTAATGTAGTAAAAATATATGCTAAAATAGCTAAAAAAGATGTTTTTTACAATACATGACCAAAATTTGTGTTTTGTAAATTTATATGGCTAGTTAGTGGTATTAACACATGAACCAAAACTGTTGTGGGTACGCTTCCTTTTGGTACAATAGGTCTAGTAACTGCTTATATCCACCAAAATCTTCGAACGAAAGTTCAAATCGGTGATCAAGATGTGTCCAGCAGCCAGCCTCTTGATGATCTGAAACAGTAATCCCGGCTTTCGAATTGTAATGGCGCCGATCTTCGAGTACTTCGTTGTGTGCGGGATCGGACCAGAAATCCGCACTTTGGACGGGAACAGGGGCTACCATGGCGCAGGCATCATGTACTTGCCATCTCTATTAGATCAGTACCCTCCCCCAAATCACTCTCTCTATCCTCCTCCCCCGCCTCAACTCCCCACCTGCGTTTTGCCTGCCGGCGTCCAGTTCTACTCATCGGGATTTGATTCCGCCGACCCGTTGTCCTTTCCCCGGAGCTATCCGATCGTTTTGACCGAAGGTGATGGATCTAAGATTTATGTCAGCTGCATTGCGTTCCGCGATCCCGTTTGTGAGGACATAGCGGAGGCTTATCGTATAGCAGCCAATTCATTTGCTGATAAATGCATCTGTCTCGTCTCGCGGGCTCCCAGTTTCGGCATTCTGCGCGATGCCTTGGAGGAAATATTCCTGCTTTGCTTTTCACAGTCTGGAAGCAGGTCAGTCTACTGTTTACGTGTGTGTGTGTTCCCCTGAACCATTTCATTTCCTGTTTTAGATGATGGTTTTTTTTTTTCCCAAAGTGGTGTCATCCCTAACCTGTTATTCTTCGTATATAACTGATAGTAGAAGGGGAAGGCACCATTGGTACCATACTTGGAGACATTCTGATGATTAGACAATAGCATAGCCAGAGAGCACCTGATGACTTTGCAACATTACTTGCATATATGGACCCCTATTCGATGCTTATGTTAATTATTATGTTCTTGTCATGATTTTATTCAGCAAGCCGCTCTGGGATGTCATAGCATATCTAGTGTCCAATGTACCTTTACCAACCCCTGGAAAGGACCGAGTGCTGTTTGCCATTGAAAATAGCTTGCTTGCTGTAGAGGTCCCGCCAAAAGATGGTCTTCCTCATGCTGATGTATGTTACTACTTATGAAACTTTCTTGTTGTTTTTTTATGTTTGTTGGTGTGTATTAATTTTAGTTGATAGTGATTTCTATTTCTTTTATTGGCAGATATCCTTCCAGCCTCTGGTTCAGTGCTTGGATGTTGATAATTTCATCAAACTATTTACAGCTGTGGTGCTGGAGAGGAGGATTTTGCTCCGCTCTGACAAGTACGCTTTTTTGCACCCAAATTTGTGAGGGATCATATTAATAATTTACAGTAATTGTGGTTTTTCGTCACCCCGGTACAATTCTAAATGGGTGTATGTTCCTTTCTTGCCAGAGACTGTGTGACTGTTACTGTTTATTGTTCAGAACGACTAGTTTTCCCTACACGACATTAAATATATTACACCAGCAAACAAAAAGAAAGAAAGCTGCCTTTCTTACTTTACTCTTAGATCTTGCTAATCTTAAATAATGCAATTTTTCATGAACATTCTACATCTTTTTTGTTTCCTTGTAGTTTTGCCTGTAGTGATATCCTATCTGTCTTGTGTCTCATCAGGCACTGCATGTGGGTGAACATTATGCAATTATCTTGGTTCATATTTTAAAATAATGGTGCTGCCTAATTTTATAAGTGCCGATTTACATTAATGAAAAATATGCATATTTTCAGTTTTCAACGATAAATAAGTAGATAAAGCATTGTCCCTGTATAATATAATGCTCTCTTTTCTACCTGAACTGTATGAGTTGTCAGTTAATTACAAGTGGCCTAGGCTGCCATTTAATCCATCCTGGATGCCACAGAATATTCATATTGGGATTATTTATTATGTGAATAAAAGTAGGTACATTGTCGTAATGCTACGGTGTTTTTACCGTAATTGTCCATCAAAATTCTAAGGGTATGTTTAGTTAGTGACTGGGTGTTATGGAGATTGGCGACGATTGTCCCCAGTAATGTGGTGTTGATTTGGCTGGAGAGGAATAAGAGGATTTCTGATGATGAAGAGTTTAAGATATTTGGGATAGAATTAAGTTGAGGCTTGCATTATTGTTCTACGTTTATGCGTTTCTTTTCCTTTGATTGGCTTATATATTTGAGTTTTGCTCTTTGACTATTGTATGTTTCTTGGTCTTGGACTTTATAACTTACCAACTATAGTTGTAACCTTTTTCTTCAGTGTATTAAATGTTTTGTTTCTTAATTAGTTACAGACAAGTTGCTATCACACTGGAAGTTCAGGAACCATGTTTTTACTATTTATTACTTGGTTCTTTAGGTGGGAAAACCTCAGTACATGTGTCTGTAACCTTATTATGATTTTATTTCCTTGCTTCACTTCTTTGTACATGTCTGCAGGTATTCTCTTCTAACTCTTGTATCGGAGGCCATATGCCACTTAATATATCCATTTCGATGGCAGGTATGACTTTCTTTTTGGCTTGGCTTTCAAATGTTACTTGCACTAATGAGATACATAGTTTGATTCTTTGTAATAGTGTGTCATCCTTGAAATATTTTCAAATGTTTGCTTTCTAACCATTTCATGTTTGCTGTTCTGAAGCATGTCTACATTCCGTTGCTATTTTTCAGTGGAGTTGACTATATAGATGCTCCCACACCATACATGATGGGTCTTCATTCAGGTGTTGATACCTTTGGGCTGATGATGGATGGCGTAAGTTCCTTAATTTACAAGGATCGGATAGATATGCCACAATCTATTGCTTTCTCCCATTCATTGACCTTTATTGTTCTTTTGCTCACTCATGTTCATTTTTCTGCGTACTTTTTGTGAAGAGGCGCATTGCAATATATAATCCAATAGTTGAGTAACAGACATTTCATGTGAACATTTAATTAAAAAATGATTGGTGGAAAATTTTAGCTCACTTGACTGTTTTAGATGTAGGTATGAACTTATTGACGATGAATCTCCATATTTTGTTTTGTTTTTGGCGTTGTTTTGTGAAACTGGTGCAAACGTGGAAAAGGTCATTGAATAAGTGTTAAACAAAAATGAATACGAAGTCTGTTGTCAAGAGTGAGCACTAAATTACATCTAGCCTTGATCCAATTTCCCAGCTCAAGCTTCTTGAGTTGGACTCCCTACAAGCACTTCAATAGACGTCATCTCTAGCCCTAGTTGTAAATGAAAATTCTATGTATAAAGCATTCGAGAACATCAGTCTCATAGGCTTGAGTAAAAAAGTAATTTTAGTTTTGCGATTTCTCGTTATAAGTTGGTGATAAATATTGACATGCAAATGATATTAATAAAGTAACCATCAGAAAGATGTGAGACAAAAAGATTACAGATTCCCCCACTGCTTAAAAGTTATTTAATTAGCTTTCATTGGTTTGTGCCATTTTGCGAAGCAGTGATACATTATTGCTTGATATTGACTTGTGTTTACTTATGCATGTTGTATGCAATGCGTAATAGGCACTAGTCAGTTAACAAAAGCTGGCACTTCTCCTTAGGCTCTTTAGTTATATGCTCTTCAATTGATTCTAGTGTCTGCTCATTATGTGAAACATTTCATGTAAACTTCTTTGTCTTCTCCATGAATTTCAGGTGGTTGTGGTTGACCTTGAGCGTAATCTCATCACCACATCTGAGGAAATTCCTCCCATACCTGAGCCAGAGTATAGTTTGTTGCGTGGTGAGATATTGAAGCTGTTACATCCAAATGTAGTTGGCATCGATCAGATGAAGGTTGGGTCTTTCTGTGAACAAGGCCCTAGAGGTGGCTGTAGGCCATGGGGAGAGGATCATGATCTCCAGCTTAGGTGAATGTTGGTGATCTGCTTAAAATTATATTGATCTTGTTACAACAAGTATACATGCAATCTTCTCCTCCTTTTACAGCTTGTTATATTTATTGAAATTTGTCAATTCCAGGTTTGAATATAATCCAAGCTTGGGCAATTATCTTTATCTCTGATTTTTTAAGCTGTTCCTTTCATGCTAATATCAAATATGGTTAAAAATCTTGTCTTAAAAACAGATATTTGGTTAGGGCCTAGGTGAATCTTGTTCCGAGTTTTTCGGGAATCCCAGATACATTTTGGAATTAAACTTGCGGGTCATACCACTCAATGGTTATGAGTCCCTGAAGCTTGATGGTTTTCGTTCCATCCGACAAGTGGTTCTGTGGTGTTACAGGCCAAATATTGAGATGCATGCTGTTATGATTTGATTCTTGCTTGGTTTTTATATTATAAAAAACCTGTTATAGTGGAGTGCTTATGTCATATTAATGTATGTGCTAAATTTCCTATCTCAAGCATGGTTTTATATTTCTAAAATTATTTTCCATGGTTTTAGCTGGTTATCGCAACTAAATTTATGTTATAAATGTCTTGTCTTATTCATTGAGTATTTCTTGATCTTGCAGGTTTATATTCCTAAAATTCTTTGCTTCAATTTTAGCTGGCTATCGCAATTTCATAGTATGAGCTTTGACCTTACTCATCTAGTTAGATCAACCATCATTATTCTATGTGAAAGTAGCAATTGTTTTGTCATTTGTCAGGAAAACACAGCAACTCATATATTCAACGGCCAGGCTTTTTTAAAGAAGCGGTCTCGGTCGACAAACCAGCCTCCAGATCCTATGGTGAGTAATTCAGTTTGTTAACATTGACTAGTAAATGATTTCTAGTATTCTCTATCAGTTAAAATACATTAGCTGCCAATTTTCTTTTCATTTTAACATATTTGTCTTCTTATGTTTTACTTGATGTGCAACCTTAACAGATAAGCCAGTTTTTAGATTCCCAAGGCTTCCTAGATTATTTGGAGAGAGGTCTCGGCTCTGAAGAAAATGGACACAATCTTCTTGATAAGTTACAGGATGCTATTGGCAGGGGCCAAAATCCTTTTTCAATTCTTCCTTCACTTTTGATAGAGCCTGATATTGTAACCATCTCTGATCCTGGATTGGGGGGGTCAGGTAATATAAAATATCTTTTGAACTGGATGCTTCTAGATGTGTGCAGTGTTGAAAGGTCCTTGAGACACTATGAGCTGGATATGGTACTAATGCCTTTTGTGTTTTAAACTGCGGGATCAGGAGCTAAATATAGTTATGACAGATTTCCTGCAAATATTAGAACAGAGGAGCAGGAAGAAAAGCGGAAGCAGATTTTAGCAGCAGCCAGCGGGGCCCTAGAATATTCTGGAAAGCACACTGTGAGGTATATTACTTAGCAACAAAGATAACCATCTTACCTCTTATTAGACTAATTTGTTTGTCCGTAAAGCGAGAATTTTGTTTTCTCTTTTGTTCAAACAGTTCTCCTTCAGTGCGTGTCGGTAGA